TTGTGTGTGGGGAGACTCTGAAAGGGGGAAACCCTGAGTAGGGTCCTATGGGAGGAGAGGAGGAACTCTGAGTGAAGACAGGTAATGAGAGAATTGTTGTCCCTGTGTGAGGGGCCCTGAGGGTGGAAGAGCGAGATCACTGGGCCATGAAAGGGGAAGACCTCTGTAACTTGTGCAGGGGATTCTAAGTGAGTAAGAGTAATCCAACTGGCCCACCCAAGTCCTTGTGGAGGAAAGACACTGAAGGATATAGGACCATCCCGTTGGATCATAACTGGGGAGATCTTGAGGGGTGTGGGGTGAGGAAGATTGATTCCATTGGGCCATGAGTGAGGGAAAAACCATTGGGCTCTGAGGGATAGGGACTCCAAGTGGGTGCCAAGGGTGTTCCAATTGGATCAGGACTGGGGGAGACAGATCACTGGGTCCAGGAGAGGGCAGGGGCAGGAAAAATGCTGTAGAAGCCAAGTCTTCTGACCTTTAGCAGACCACCAGGGGGTGGAGGCTGGTGCCATGGGAGGGAGGGAAAGGTCCTAGTGGGGCAAGGGGCAGTGGTTCTGGGAAGAACTGGTAAGTAGGGGTGTGCTGTTTGGAATGGCCCATCGTTCACTTTCCCTCAATTCTTGAAAGAGGTCTGGCCATGTTTTGAGAGCCTTGGGGGTGGGGACCCGGAGCAGCCCCCTTTTACTAGGTGAATTTGGTCGGGAGAATACCAGGCCCTTTTCCCTTGGGAAAGAGGGAGGAAGGCAAGCTCCTGCCCCCTACTCTGGCCAAGAGGATAGACAACATTCACTTCTGACAGAAAGACAGAACAGTGTTTAGTATGTGACGAGGTCAGCCAGGATGAGAAGGAGGAACTTTATCCTGTGGGCATGGAGAGCCATGGAACACACATGAGCAAGAGCCTGACTGGGTCAGGGCTCTTTCATGGCCTGAGTGCAGAGTGGATTGGAAAGGGAGAAATGGAAGCAGCAGAGAGACAGAGAGGTGAGACTGGCTGTGGTTATAAGTAGAACTGGAGAAGGTGGGACAAGGGCTGAGGGGCTGAAAAGTCGTTTAGGGTAGAGCATGCACAGGTCTTAAGGAGTGACTAAAGAGGCACATGGAGGGCAGCAGGGTCCATGGGGCTCAGGGGGTTTGTTCCTTCATGGTGAGGGTAGGGGCACATTCCTGACCAAGTCATTTCTCCTCCTTGCTTCCCTCTAAGGCTCAGCTCCTGGAACTCCGGACAAACAACTACCAGCTTTCAGATGAACTACGCAAGAATGGTGTTGGTGAGCCAAGAGAGTCTCATTAGATGGGGGTGGCTTTGGGGGACAGAGGCTGAGGGAAGAAACCTCAGAGGCCTGGCAGGAAGACTTTTCAGGTCCTTGCCACAGACTGAGGCTGAGACTCCCTGCTTTCTCCACACCAGAACTCACCAGTCTTCGACAGAAGGTCACCTACCTGGATAAGGAGTTCAGCAAAGCTCAGAAGGTACCTCCCTCCACCCACTCACCCACCCATGCTTCCATGTAGCCATCTGACTCATTCATCTATCCAGTGAACACCTACAGTGAACCAGACCTCATGTTACATGCTGTCACTAGTCATTCAAAAAGTTCTCATGGAAGTCTCTTTAGTCTGCTAATTTTATGTAATCCTGATTAATTTATTGATTAATTTTATTTTACTCTCAATTCATTTTTTATTTCAATTACTCATTCTTATTCACTAACTTTTAACTAACTAGTCAAATCTATCGGTAAATCTGCCTTGAATCTGCCTCCTGTCCTCCACTCACCCTCCTGCCTTGCGCTCCTACTTCCCATCCCTGTCCTGGTCCTGTTGGTAAAGTGAGACTAAACCTACATCTCAGATTCTCTGAAAATGAGATAGCCTAGAACATATTATGGCCCCTCGAGGCATTCAGGGCCCTCCTTTGGTCTCTTTCTTCACTGCTCTGTCCCATTGCATAGCACAATGTTATGCATAGTATGTGCTCCATAAATATTTGTTAGATGAAGGAATACAGAATGCAGAAAGTCTGGCAGTCAGGAAGCTGACCTTCCCTTTGGTAGAGTGCTGATTCCCCAACCTGGCAATGCCCTTGGCTGCCCAGCAGGGGAGCAGCAGTTTCCACGGTGCATGGGAGAGAGCCACAGAGATGTGTTTGGAGAGATGTAGCAATGAAGCCACAATTTCTGAGCCCGGAGACCCAGCCCATGAAGGGTTAAATACTAAAACCCATGAACAGCCTCAAGAGCTTAGAGGAAAGGATATAAGCAGGATGTCCCCTCATTCACTCACTCCCTCCCTCCCTCCATCACTCCATCATTCCTGTGGGCTACAAATTGTCAAGCAAGTTCTGTGGTTGAAGACACTCCCATCCCCCAACCCCTGTTATCATTGGCCCCCTTGACACTTGCCACAATGTCACCATACCCTAGTGAGGGAGTCCATCTCTGTTCACCTTATCTCTCTTCTCACCCTTCTTACCTTTAGGCACTGAGCAAGAGCAAGAAAGCTCAGGTAAGGGGAGCAATGGCCGGTGAATGTGTCTGGGAGACTGTGTCTTAGCGGGGATGTTTCTGGATGCTGGGATCTCCTTGTACTGGCCTTTCTTTCTCTTTGTGTGTGCTTGCATCTGTGACTACCTCACTGCCATGTGTTTCTGTGTCTTTGTTTTCCTCTATTTGTCTCTCACTCTGTGCCTCTCTCTGTGTGTCTTTCCTTCTCCCTTTCTCTCTCTTTATCCTTCTCTCCAAGTCTCTCTCTGTCTCTGTCTTCCTGTTCCTCTCTCTCTGACTCTTGTTTCTCTCCCCTCCCTTCTCTTTGTCTCTCCCTCATCTGTTCCTATCTCCGCCATCATTTCTCTCTTTTCCTCTTTCCCTGTCTTTATCTCTCTCTCTGACTCCTTGTTCCCCACCCCCATTTCTCTGTCTCTTCCTGACTCGTATCTTTCCCTGACCCCTCTCTCTTTTCTCTCTATTCTGTTCTCCTCCTGTTGATCTCTCTGTCCCTATCTCTCTGTCTTCCTGCCTTTTCTTTTTCTCTCTCTCCCTGCCCATCCCTCTTTCCTTCCCTATCTATCCCCCTTTCCACATCTCTCTCTGCTTCCCCTCTCCTCTATTTCTATCTACCCTTCTCTTTCCTCCCACTCTCTCCCCCATGTCCCTCTCTCGCTCCCCATCTTTCCTTCTCTCTACCCCCCATGTCTCTCTTTCTCCCTCCCTGTCTCCTCTTTTATCCCTCCCTGTATCTCTCTCTCCTTCTATCTCCTGGTTTCACCCATCTCATTCTCTGTGCCCTATGTTCTCCCCCCAATGTGATTTTCTTCCTTTCTCTGTTTCTTTACCCTACCTCCCCATCCTTTCCACCCTTGTTGGGGACCTGGTCCATGTCTGCCACTGCAGGAAGTTGAAGGGCTGCTGAGTGAAAATGAGATGCTGCAGGCAAAGCTGCACAGCCAGGAGGAAGACTTCCGTTTGCAGAACAGCACACTTATGGCCGAGTTCAGCAAGGTACTGGTGCCCGGGATAGCCGAGGAGGCTCCAAGGAGTAGGGGCCACCTGGGCTGAAGCCAGAGGGCAGCCGAGAGTGGTTGTAGGATCCGTAGTAAAGACCTCTTCCTAAGACAGAGTCTGGCCCTGGACCACTGTCCATGGTGCTGAAACAGGTCCTGGATCTGTGCTGGGGGGCAGCGATCTGACAGATGGGGCCACCCACTGTGCTGGGATGAGAAGACTGCAAGCCCTGAGGTCAGCTGGTTCCTGGCCAAGTCACTCCTTTTCTTTGAGCTACAAGTCTTGTGTATATTTTGGGGCTGATGCTATGGAGCCCCAGGGTGTTGAGTGGTCTTAGATAAAGTTCTTATGCTTAATGTGGGATAGAAAGACGTTCGAGCTGCTTCCCTTTTCTCTTCCTTCACTTCATCTGACATGAGCCTGGGGTTCTGGTTCTTCTAGATATTTCATCCTGGATTGGGTAATTCTGCCTCCTCACTGATTTTAGCATCCTGGCTGTTTCTAAACTGACTGGGCAGTTGGAAACATTGTCTTTTGTTCCCTTATTTATCTTCTGTATCTGTGGTCAAGAATTTTCTAAGTTTTTAGTGCATTTTAAGGAAAAAGTCTCACAGCAACAAAAATGGTATTTCCAAGGCTCTACCTGAGAATGTAGAGCTTAAGACCTTAAAAAAAACAAAACAAACCAAAAAAACAACCTTTATGCAGGTACGATACCAGGAGAGGCAATTTAGCAAGTCGTAGTTAAGAGCCGGAAGGCCTAGATTAAACTCTTGGCTCTACCTCTTACTAACTGTAACCTTGAGCAGGTCACTTGTCCTGCCAGTTTATTGGTTCCCAAATGTTTAAAATGGAAATGGTGATAATGGCAGTACTTTCCTGGGAGAGCTTTTGTGAGGATTGAATGGGTTAATGTCTGTAAACCACTTAGAGCAGAGCCTTGCATGTAGTATCAGCTGTGTAGGTGTTATCTACTAATGGTATTCTTTTATTAATTCACTTTCCCTCTAAAATATTTCTTGACTATTTAAAAGTTTTATGTCTATTCTGTGGCTCTGCCTTGCCTCAGCCCTTACCACCTCTCACCTGCTCTATTCCCACAGCCTCCTCGCGGGTCTCCTCACTTCTAGCTGCTTCTACCAGTCCAACCCATAAAGGTTGTCTTGACCTGCAGGTCTTACCACATCACTCCTTTAAACAACACCTCCCAGTGGGTCCTCGCCCCTCACAGTTCAGAGCCCCTTGTGCTCCTATAACAGCATACTTCATCGCCTCACTTCTCACTGCTTCGTGCCTCCAGCCTCGATGATATCATGGTTCTTGTGGGGTGAGGAAGGGGCAGGCATTCCTCCATAAATCCAGCTTGTGTTTCCCAGCACCTTCCCTGGCCAAGGCTCTTGGCCAGGTATAGAACCTCCTTCACAGTCCCCCTCCACTTTCTCCCAGGAACTGCAAGTGCTCATAGAGAGACCTGGGATCAAGTCCTGCCTCCACCACTTATTTGCCAAGATATTTCCACTCAATTCTTCCTTCAAAAAATAGGTATTGAGGGCCGGCCCAGTGGCGCAAGCGGTTAAGTGCACACGCTCCACTGTGGCGGCCCAGGGTTCGCCGGTTCGGGTCCCGGGTGCACACCAACGCACTGCTTGGCAAGCCATGCTGTGGCGGCATCCCATATGAAAAAAAATAAATAGAGGAAGATGGGCACGGATGTTAGCCCAGGGCCAGTCTTCCTCAGCAAAAAAAGAGGAGGATTGGCAGATGTTAGCTCAGGGCCGATCTTCCTCACACACACACACACACACACACACACACACAGAAAAATACTTATTGAGCACCCGCTGTGTGCTCTGTGTTGTGGAAATAGTTGTGAGCAGCACAGAATGGTCCCACTTTTGGGTAGCTTACATTCTGGGGGTGGGATAGGGAGACAGATGAAAACATAGTAAACAAATAGTAATTGTACTGATCGTTGACAGTTACATAGCATTTCCCATGTGGCAGGTCCTGTTCGATGTGTTTTACATAACTCACTCATTTAATCCTCGCAACAAGCCTATGGGATGTTATTAGTATCCCTATTTAACAGATGAGGAAAACAACCCCAGAGAGGTGAAGTAATTTGTCCCAAGGTCACACGGCTAGTAAATGCCAGAGTAGAAATTCACATCCAAGCAGTCTGGTTTCAGAATCTGTGCCTGTGACCCTGTTACAAAGTAGAATTTAATTGTCAATCACCATTTATGATCCAAAATTTTTCAGAGCTTTAAGAAATTACAAACATTAGGTAAACTTAATTGTGATTGGTCTGTCGAAGAAAGAAATGAACGGAGTGCTGTGCTAGAGAGTAGTGGAATTTCTGTGTTGGGGAATACTACTTGAAAGGTGACATTTGAGTAGAGCACTGAAGGATGCAAAGCCAGTCATGTGAAGAACTGGATGAAAGGAATAATGTTCTCAGTAGAAAATATCCCAGGCAATAAAATAAAAATCTCTGTGGGCCTCAGTGTTCTCATCTGAAAATGGGGACAGAGGATCTTGTCAGGTCTGCTGTGAGAACTGTGTAGCCAGGAGTTGAGCAAGGGGCTGGCTTAGTTTTATTTTCACTGTACACCTCTCCAAGGCCAAAGGCTGACGGTGGGGAGCTGTGGGCAGTGGTGGCCCTGGAAATGCCCTAAAAGCTGTCTGTGGTGCCTAGCCTCCCAGACACAGACCCCTCCACAGAAGAGGGCTGGCAGTGGGGCTGTCCATGATGCTGACATGTTGGACCAGCAACTTCCAGAGGAGCCTGAGGTCTTGGATTGCCACTGTGAGGTTGGGAGTGGGCAAGTGGAAGATTGTTCTCAATATTCTCAATCCTCTGTGTCTCTGCCACTGAACAGATGTGTGAATTTGAAGTTGTTTAACATCTGTGCCTCAGTGTCCTTATCTATGAAGTGGGGATAACGAATAATGAAAGCATCTACATGACAGGGGCACTATGGGAATTAAACGAATTGTAAAGTGCATGGACCAAGTGCTATGTATACTTCAGCGAATATTGTTCTCATTCTCTGCTTTTCTGCTACCTCATTCTTCCCCTGCTCAGCTCTGCAGCCAGATGGAACATCTGGAGCAGGAGAACCAGCGACTGAAGGATGGGGCTGGCACGGCAGGGGCTGCCCAAGCTGGGAGCCTTGTGGATGGGGAGCTGCTGAGACTGCAGGCGGAGAATACAGCCTTGCAGAAGAACGTGGCAGGTACATGGAGGCCCTCCTGGGGATGTGGGAGGTTGGGGCTTGAGTAGGGTGTTGTCTTCCTGGGGGAAGGGGAGAGGCTTCAGAATCAGGCTTGGTCCTGCCGTGAACGAGTGTATGAATTTGGACAAGCCATTTCACCTCTCTGAGCCAAACCTTCCTCATCTATAAAGTGCATGTAGTGATGTCCACCACCTGGAAGACTGTGGTAGAGAGAGGAGGTGGTATCTTTCTGAGTTTAGTACCATGCCTGTTACCTAGCAAATGTTACCGATTAGCAGATTGAACATCAGAAAGGAGATGTGTGCTGAATGAAGAAAGTGAATGAAGGAGCGTTGGGAAGATTCTGACTTTTGGAGAGTAGCTGAGGCTTGTGGGGTGCTGGGTGGTAGTTTGGTGATCAGGAGAGAGACTTTGTAGAATGTGGCTGGGGATTAGGAGGTTATAGGAGGATTCAGCTGTGAGTAGGGGTTGGAGGATGGTGGGCATCACCTTGGAGGGCTGTGGATAGGGCTTGGGGGATGGAGGGTGGGACTTGGGAAACCAGTTTGGACTGATTTGATGGTAGACAGGGCTTCAGTGGTTGGTGGGGCTTAAAAGATTTGAGAGGTGTAGATGGGGCTGAACCTTCGTTTTGTAGGCTTGTGATTATTTGGGGCAGGGTGTCTGCTGCCTGAGGGGTTGAAGGCCAATTCTCCCTCTATTTGAGGCATTCTTTGGATATGACCTTATCCATCGTATATCTCTGTTCTATCCACCAGCCCTGCAAGAGCGCTACGGGAAAGAGGCCAGGAGGTCCCCAGCTGCCAGTGAGGGTCAAGGGGACCCCCCGGGAGACCCAGCCCCCACTGCCCCGGCCCCCATGCCGTTGGCAGAAGTGGAACTGAAATGGGAAATGGAGAAGGAGGAAAAGAGGTTGCTCTGGGAGCAACTGCAAGGCTTGGAGGTGAATCTGGGTCTGTTGGGACTGGGGTACCAGGAGGCAGGCAGATGCCCTACCTCTGCCCGTGGTCCCATGGAGATGTCTGTGACATCACCATCTTGTGGGTCGACGGATTAGGGAAGCAGGAGGGCATGGGAAAGCACAGGCCTTACCTCCCCCTTGCTGACAACAACCCCCTCCCTCATCCTTCCCTGCAGAGCTTGAAGCAGGCTGAAACGTCCAGGTTGCAGGAGGAACTTGCTAAGGTGGGGCTGCCGAGCTTTCCCTGGACTTTGCCCCATCCCACTCCCCAGCTGCCATGCTTCCACTGGCAGGGCAGAAGGGACAGAGTACCCCCTCAAAGCCTCAGTTTCATCATCTGTAAAATGGAGATACTCACATTTATGTTTCAGAGTTGCTTTCAACATGGAATGGGCTAATGTGGTCTCTCTCTGTCTTGTGCGTGGCAGACCCCATCCCTTCCTTCTGTGTCCTCATTGCTTTGTTTGTCCATCCATCCATCCATCTATCCATCTATCCATCTAAGCAATTATAGACTGCTGGCTTTTATCTTAGGAACTGGAGACCCAGTGGTGAGGCAGCCAGTCATGATCCTGCCTTCCAGGCCTCCCAGCCTAGCCATTCTGTGATGTGGCCATCGGTCGATATGTTGGGGGCATAAATACTGGGCTTTGGAGCCTGAGGGAGCTGGCTGGAGATCATGTTGTTGCTGCTTACCAGCTGGGCAACCAAATTACTTAACCCTTCTGAGACTCAGTTTCCACATTTGTCAAACCAGTAGTACTCACTTCTCAGGATTGTTTTGAGGATTCCACGAGATAACATAAGTAAATTATGGCTTCCAAAAAGGACTTAGTAAGAAGTATCTGTAAATATTAAGTTTATTTTTGTCTTTATTAATATTCTCATTGTTATCACTTGTCTGCACTCACCCTCCCCCACCCCAGCTCTCCGAGAAACTGAAAAAGAAACAAGAAAGGTAAATTTCTTTTTTCCAGAGGTGGGGGAAGGGGTTTTGGGGGACTAGGGAGGGGAGTGATTTGTGGAACTGACCCATCTATGTCTGTCTTTCTGTGCCCAGTTTTTGCCGTCTGCAGACAGAAAAGGAGACACTATTCAATGACAGCCGGTAACTACAGCATTGGGGGTGTTGGTGGACAATGGGAACAGTGCCCAGCAAAATTAACTGAAGACCGCAGGGGCAGAGGTGGGAGACTGGGCCTCAGGCCATGGTCACTGCACCCTCCCCTCACTCCCAGGAACAAGATTGAGGAGTTACAACAGCGGAAGGAAGCTGATCTCAAAGCCCAGTTGGCTCGAACTCAGAAGCTGCAGCAGGAACTCGAGGCTGCCAATCAAGTGGGTGGCTGGGTTCTGAGATCGCTGGGATAGGGCCCAGGGCTGGGAGTCTGGGGAGCTCTGAGGTCTACGGAGGCTAGCTGGGGAGTCTGATGTTTCCTATGTTGGAAATATAGGGACTGAGTGGGTCCTGGGCCCCCCAGGAGCTAGGAAAACGGGTGCTAGGGAGCCCCGAAAGCCTGAGGAGTTGGGCTAGGAGTCTGCATGAATCAAAGATCTCAGGGCGCTTGAGGATTTGGGAGCTGTGTGCCACAAGTTTGGATCAATCTGCAGCTCCAGGGGATTGGAGACAGGAGTCTGGAGAAATCCATGGTCACTGGGGACTGAGACCAGGAGTTGGAGTGAATCTGAACTCACTGGAGGTTGAGTGACTTTGAGACCTATGAGGTCTGGGTAGATACAAGACTTTCAGGGGTGGGACAGTTGGGCCTGGAGGCTAAGTGCATTTGAGACCCTCATAGTATGGGAGCTGGTTTGGGTCTGAGACACCTAGGAAGTTGGGTCACATGGGCTGAGTGGTCCTGAGACCCCTGGGGGCTGTGAATAAAACACTGGTGAGTCTGAGACACCCAAAGACTGGAACAAAAGTCTAGCTGTGTCTGAGGCTCCTGAGGGTTGGGGGTTGGGTAACTTTAAAGCCTCTAGTCTTCCCCCTAGAGTGGATGAGTCTGAGGTCCCTTGGATGGCAGGATATGGTGGCTTGTGGGTCTAAGGCCCCTAGGAGCCAGGGGCAGAAGTCTGGGTAAAGCTGAGTCTTCAGTTAGCTGGGTCTGAAGATCCCCAGAGACTGGGGACAGGAGTAGCAGATAGGGGGTCAGTCTGAGACCTCACCAGGAGCTGGGAACTAGAAGATTATATGAGTTTGAGACCTCTAGGGTCTGGGGCTGTGAGTTTGGGTGGGTCTGAGACTTTTGGGAGCTAGGGACATGGGGGTTGAGTGTGTCTGCAACCCCTAGGGGTTGGGGTCAGGAGTCTGGGTGAAACTATAGTCCCTGGGGGCTGAGTGTGTCAGAGAGTCCTGGGGCCTCCGAGCTGGAATCTGGGTGAGTGTGAGACCTCATGGATGGAGGTTGAGTGAGTTTGAAATCCCCATAAACCTAGGTGTTTTCTGAGATGCTTGGAGCTGAGATATAGGGGTATCTGAGGTCCCTGGTGGTAATGATCTAGAGTCTGGGTGAGCCTGAGATCTCTGATGGCTGGGTAGTCCAAGACACTTAAGTGCTGTCATGTGGTCAAAGAGGGAGTCTGTGTGGTTATATGCACCCCAGGGGAGACTGCGATCTGGAATGGGCTCCCCTGACCTGGTCCCCACAGAGCTTGGCAGAGCTGAGGGATCAGCGGCAGGGGGAGCGCCTGGAGCATGCAGCAGCTCTGCGAGCCCTACAAGATCAGGTACATCGTACTGGGTGGGTTCAGGGAGGTGGTGGGTGAGGGTGGGGGCAGCCACAGTGGGTATCGTATAGGCAGGCAAGGCCCCAGGGGTCCTTCTTCCCATGGTCGTGGTTTGCGTGTGTGTGTGTGTGTGTGTGTGTGTGTGTGTGTGTGTGTCCTTTCTTTCTTCGCTGTGGGTAAGTCCTGTCCCCCTGTTCTGGACCACTCTCACCTGTCTTTGGGATGAGGCCAGGTGTCCATCCAGAATGCAGATGCACAGGAACAAGTGGAAGGGCTTTTGGCTGAGAACAATGCCTTGAGGACTAGCCTGGCTGCCCTGGAGCAGGTACAGGACACTTGGGAGCCCTCTCTGATCCCTCCCCAGTTCCCCGTCTCCCTATGCTTCTGATCCACATCAGAGCAGGGTAATCTGGCCTCATGCTGTTCTCTTGCCTCTGTTTCTATTTTGTTTTCAGCTTCTCCTTTCTGTTGGCTTCCACCCCTCTTCTCTCTGGCCATCCATTCCTGCTCCTCTTGCATTCTAGTTTCTCTCCAGTGAAGTGCAAGTGTACTAATCTTAAGTGTACACTCAGTGAATCATCTCTGTCTATATGTCTGTCTGTCTATCTGTCTATCTATCTCCATGCAGCCACCACCTAGATCAAGATATAGAGCATTTTCAGCACCTCAGAAGGTCCCTTTTACCCCTTCCCAATCAATACTTCCCCAGAAGTAACCACTCCTCTGACCTCTAGCAACATAGATTAGTTTTGCTTGTTCTTTAACTTCATGTGAATGGAATCAGACGCCCATTTTTGTGTCTGGCTTCTTTCCTGCAGCATTATATCTGGGAGGTTTATCCATATGTGGCACTGGTCTGTTGTTTTATCTCTGTGCGGTATTTCATTGTATGAATATACCACATTTATCCATTCCCCCACTGATCTCTTTCTCTCACTGTTTTTCTCTTTGAAATTCTTCTTTCTCCTCC